GCCGTTGCTGCTGCGCTGCTGCAGCCGCTGCAGCAGCAAGTTGTGGGGGCAATCTTAAAAGCCCTGAAAGAAAGAATTGGATACTTCTTTGTTTCCAGAGACACTCAAGCTAAAATGGGTGCGAAACCCTAAACCCTAAACCCTAAACCCTAATTGCGCCAGACCCCAAGCTACTGGTAAAACTCCAACTCCAGAGCTTTAACCCTATACCCCTAAACCCTAAACCCTAAGCCCTAATCCCCAGTGTAAATGAAGTTTAGCACTTTGAGCTTGTGGGTACCCGAAATTCAAACCCTAAACCCGAGACCCTAGAGACAACCCCGGCCCCTAAACCCTAAACCCTAAACCCTAAATCCTAAACCCTAAACCCTATACCCTAAATCCTAAACCCTAAACCCTTTTGGCAGTGTCTTTCGCGCAGAGGGTTTGCTGGATCGGCTGCATTTGGAGAACTTGGAGTTTAATGCTGCGCGTCTCACGGACGAGCTCCGCAGGCACCAGGCAAACCCTAAACCCTAAACCCTAAACCCTAAACCCTCATTCCGCTCTCAAGCGTTTCCTTGCGATCCCAGTCCCCTCTGAGCCCCCACTCGCAGCTACGGCCCAGGGGCCGCTGCCACGCCCTAGAATTCAGGTTCAGGGTTTAGGGTTTAGGAGTTGGAATTTAGGCTTTAGGGTTTAGGGTTTAGGGTTTAGGGTTTAGGGTTTAGGGTTTGGCGCAGATCCCCGTGGTGGTTACTGGGGGCGGAGTGGCTGTGGCCGACACCAGGCTTTACTTGACCCACGCCCGGCTGGACATAATAGCGGAGAATTGCGAACTGCGGCTGGCCCCCAAGGGTTTTGCAGACGCCTCCGTAAACCCTAAACCCTAAACCCTAAACCCTAAACGCAGAGCCCTAAACCCTAAACCCTGAACGCTAGGCCCCGCGCCCCGCGCCCTGGGCCTGCGCGGCTCCGTGCAGCTTGGGCAACGGGCAGCAAGGCGGACGGCTCAACCTGCAAACCCTAAACCCTAAACCCTAAACCCTAAACCCTAAACCCTAAACACTAGCGGCGATGGATGCGGTAACTGTCCTTCCCGAGCTGCAGAAACTTACAGCCCCAGCTGTTGCAGCTGCTGCAGTTTAGGGTTTAGGGTTTAGGGTTTAGGAAGTGTTTGGGGGTTTTTCAGGAAGGGAATCTCGCCGAAGTCGCAGAACGGCAGCTGCAAGAGGTGACAAGCCTCAAACCCTAAACCCTAAACCCTAAACCCTAAACCCTAAAGTGAACGTCACCAGTAGCTTTGTAGACTTGAAGACAGAAGTCCTCGAAGGGCCGACAGCTCAGGTCACTAGCTGCCGTGGCCCAGGGGCGTCAGGCCCAGGCCCCAGGGTTTAGGGTTTAGGGTTTAGGGTTTAGGGTTTAGGGTTTAGGGTTTGCTGCAGGTGAACACGCACATTCGGCAGTTTTACTCGCTGCAGAAGCAGCAGGAGCTGCAGCTGCGGCTGCAGCGGCTCGACCGGCTGCTGAACGAACACTTGAAAGAAGCAGCAGCAAGAAAGGAGTTCGAGGCGGAGGCGAGGGAGGTGCTGCAGCAGCAGCAGGCCGTGCGCCAAACCCTAAACCCTAAACCCTAAACCCTAAACCCTGATTTTGAACCCGACGCAGATCCCGAACCAGGGGATCCA